TCCCAGTTTCTCCCACCCCACAGCAGGCAGGAGCTTGGGGTGTGCCTTGCAGGGGTTTTGGCACTGAGCTGCTCCCTGGCTGTGCCAGGGCTGTGCCCACCCCTCAGCCTGGGGGTGTTTGGGGTCCTGGGGCCCCCCCAGCCCCTCAGCACACACAGCTGGGTTTGGATCCTCCTTTGCATCCACAGCTGTGGGACCCCAAAACCACCCAGAGCCCGCATCACCCTCAGCCTGCTCCTCCCCAGGGTGTGCTGAGGGGACTAATGAGCTCTAATTAGCAGAGCTGATGAACTTTTGGGCTGCCCTGTGTCCTTCATCCACCCTCAGCTGGGAGTTCCCAGCCGTCCCTTCCCTGGCCCTGCAGCAGCACAGGGCCCCTCTCAGGAGGAGCTGGCATGGGAAAAGCTCAGGAAATGGGGACATGCAGCAGAAAAAAATGACTTTTTTATTTTAGTCACTTCAATTTTGCAGCTTGTGAGAGGCACAGGAAGGAGCTCTGGGGAGGATTGTCAACAAATCCCAAAAAAAGCCCAGGCTGCCCTTGTTATCCCTGAGCTCACCTTGCTGGGGAGGGCAGGGCAGGCCTGAGGGCTCTGCAGGTGCCTCAATCGGGATTTTGGGGTGGGGAGGGGCACCCACAGCTTTGGGGTGGTTTTTGGGATGCTCTAAATCCGTCCCAGCCTGGATTGTGAGCGGATCCACAGCTCCTGGATGTTCCCTGCAGGAGGAGCAGCCCTAAAAACCCCATCAGGGTCCAGAATGGAGGTTTGCAGATGAGAAAGCCTTGATGGGAAAGCCCCAAAATCCTTCTCATTCTCCACACAAATGTCCCAGAGCCTCCAGGATGGCCCCGGGAGCTCCCCAGGGCTCATCAGGGGTTAAAATCAGGATCTGGGCTCACTTTGTCCCTGTTTTCCCTCCCAGCATGGACGGGTTCCGGCTGGTGAAGCTCAATGAGGTCATCAGGCAGGTGGACATCGTCATCACCTGCACAGGTACGGGCCAGCGGGGGGAAATGGGGGTGCACACCCCAAAAGGGTCTCCTGGGGCTCCAGACCCCAAAAGGGATCCCATGAAGGTGCCCACCCCAAAAGGGCCCTGTGGGGATCCAGACCCCAAAAGGGATCCCATGGGGATGGAGACCCCAAAAGGGCCCTGTGGGGATGGAGACCCCAAATGGCCCCGTGGGGATGGACACCCCAAAAGGGTCTCCTGGGGCACCAGACCCCAAAAGGGCCCTGTGGGGCTCCAGACCCCAAAAGGGCCCCATGGGGATCCAGACCCCAAAAGGGCCCCGTGGGGCTGGAGACCCCAAAAGGGCCTCATGGGGATGCCCACCCCAAAAGGGCCCTGTGGGGATCCAGACCCCAAAAGGGGCCCATGGGGATGCAGACCCCAAAAGGGGCCCATGGGGATGGAGACCCCAAATGGCCCCGTGGGGATGCAGACCCCAAAAGGGCCCCATGGGGATGCACACCCCAAAAGGGCCCTGTGGGGATGCAGACCCCAAAAGGGATCCCATGGGGATCCAGACCCCAAAAGGGCCCTGTGGGGATGCACACCCCAAAATGGCCCCGTGGGGATGCAGACCCCAAAAGGGGCCCATGGGGATGCAGACCCCAAAAGAGTCCCATGGGTATGCACACCCCAAAAGGGATCCAGACCCCAAAAGGGCCCCAGCCCAGCCCAGCCCAGGCTGAGGGAAAGCCCCAGAGGTGGAGCAGGCCAGGGATTGATCCAGGACTGTGGTGCTGGCAGGGAACAAGAACGTGGTGACCAGGGAACATCTGGACAGGATGAAGAACAGCTGCATTGTCTGCAACATGGGACACTCCAACACCGAGATCGACGTGGTGAGCGCGGCCACCGGGGCTGGGGATGGGGTTTAGGGGCACGGGGTGAGCAGTCATGGTGCTTTGAGGAGACTGTTCTACAGTGGTGGTGCTTTGGGGTAACGGTGTTTGCTTTGGGGTTACAGTGTTTGGGATGATGGTGCTTTTGGGCAGTGGTGTTTGGGGTGATGATGTTTTGGGGTGGCTGTGTTTGGGGTGGTGGGGCTTTGAGTGACTATTTTGGGGTGATGGTGTTTTGGGACAGTGTTCAGGGTAATGATATTTTAGGATAATGGTGTTTTGGGCTGAATGGTGTTTGGAGTGACTGTTTCAGGGTGATGGTGTTTGGGGTTACAGTGGTTTAGGATGATGGTTCTTATAGGGTCAGAGTGCCCAGTTTTGGGCTTTAGGATAATGGTGTTTTGAGGTGATGGTGCTTTGGGGCAGTGGTGCTTGGGGTGGTTGTGCTTTGAGTGACGCTGTTTGGGGTGATGGTGTTTTGGGGTTACAGTGTTTGGGATGATGGTGTTTTTGGGCAGTGGTGTTTGGGGTGATGGTGCTTTGGGGTTACAGTGTTTGGGGTGGTGGTGGTTTGGGGTGACAGTTTTGGGGGTGATGTTGTTTTGGGGTGACAGTGTTCAGGGTAATGACACTTTAGGATAATGATGGTTTGGGGTGCCTGTTTCAGGGTGATGGTGTTTGGGGTTACAGTGGTTTAGGATTATGGTTCTTTTAGGGTCAGAGTGCCCAGTTTTGGGCTGACAGTGCTTTAGGATAATGGTGTTCTGAGGTGATGGTGCTTTGGGGCAGTGGTGTTTGGGGTGATGGTGCTTTGGGGCAGTGGTGTTTGGGGTGATGGTGTTTGTTTTGGAGTGACAGTGCTTTAGGGTGATGGTGCTTTGGGGCAGTGGTGTTTGGTGCTTTGAGTGACGCTGTTTGGGGTGATGGTGTTTTGGGGTGATGGTGTTTTGGGGTGACAGTGCTTTGGGGTGATGGTGTTTGGGGTGATGGTGTTTTGGGGTGATGGTGCTCTGGGGCAGTGCTGTTTGGGGTGGTTGTACTTTGAGTGACGCTGTTTGGGGTGATGGTGTTTTGAGGTGACAGTGCTTTAGGATGATGGTGCTCTGGGGCAGTGGTGTTTGGGGTGATGGTGCTTTGGAGTGATGGTGTTTTGGAGTGACAGTGCTTTAGGGTGATGGTGCTTTGGGGCAGTGCTGTTTGGGGTGATGGTGCTTTAGGATGATGGTGCTCTGGGGCAGTGCTGTTTGGGTGCTTTGAGTGGCGCTGTTTGGGACAATGGTGAATCCCCCTCAGCAGCCCTTGGGCAGCCGTGGTGCTGCTCTGCTGTGCTGAGGTTCAGGCTGTGACTCACAGAGGGGTCCCTGGGCTGGGCTGGGCTCCAGGGGACACTCCCAGGGCCCTGGCAGGGGCTGCTGCCGTTCCCAGCCCGTGTCTGAGGCGCTGGGGCTCCTGGTGCTGCTGTGACATTGCCCACGTTCCAGGCCAGCCTGCGCACGCCCGAGCTCACCTGGGAGCGGGTGAGGTCCCAGGTGGATCACGTCATCTGGCCCGATGGCAAGAGGATCGTGCTGCTGGCAGAGGTGAGGGAGCCCCTGCAGCTCTGGGTCCCTGTGCATGGTGGGTTTGGCTCAGGGAATCCTGGAATCACAGAATGCTTTAGGTTGGAAAACACCTCGGAGTCCATCAGGGCCAACCATTCCCAGCACTGCCAAAGCCACCCCATCCCCAGTGCCACATCCACAGGGTTTTCAATCCCCCCAGGGATGGGGACTCCACCCCTGCCCTGGGCAGCCCATTCCATTCCTGCCCACCCTTTCCATGGGGAATTTCCCCTAAAATCCAATCCAAACCTGCCCTGGCCCAGCCTGAGGCCGCTCCCTCTGCTGCTGTCCCTGTTCCCTGGAGCACAGCCCG